TGAAATTATTTTATAATAATTTCCGTTATTGGCTGCTTCGCATCCAATAACTATATATTATTTGGCAAGCACTATCATAGTAAGCTGCCGGATAAGAGTTCTTACCTGTAAGACATTTATAGCATCTGGATGTGCGATTGCCGGGTCCAAACTCTTCTCTGTAAATCTTTTCTAAGAGAATTTTACTGATTTCCAATATCAGATATAGAGATGTGATATAAAAGTAGTTTCTGCTTTAAATTGATTACTAATTAGTTTGGTAAAGTACGTACTCAATACGGTGCTTTAGATCTCCAAAATACGTACTCTAATATTTTTATTTCAAAAAATATTTTATTAGCATGCTCAGGAAGCATAGTAATGACTTTAATGACTTGAAATGGCGTATCATTTACCTACATTATTAGGATGCATATTTTTTATATTAATTCTAAATTTGGATTTTTTTATAAAGATATTCTGAGGGTCACACTTCTCAATAATATATAACTCAGTAAGTTGGAAATTTTCGGAGTTGCAATAATGCTGGCCGAACTTTTAAAGCTGGGTATTTTAGATAATTACATAAAAATGGACAAATTTTTAGGATCGAAAATAGTTTTCAACGGCGGCTAATTTTTTTGAAACTTTATCCATATAATCAGACATTCTAAAATCGTAATTTGGCTTTTGAATGGTTTGTACTGTATTATAATATTCTTATTAATATCTAAAAGATAGGATAAATTAAGAGAAAAATTGATATAATCAGGATTTGTGATTTGTTTGTTGTTTTTGTATATTTTTGAAATCTTTGATTTTATTTTTATGTTGTTAAAAGAATGTATTTATGTATTGTTATTTGACAGCGATTACATCATCTGTGATGAATTACATCCTGAATTTGCTAAATATTTAGTGTTGGCACTGGAATTTATATTTTTTTTCACCGGAATATTCATCTAGTTGGCCGATAAATTCAATCAAATAAAGGTTTATATTATCTCACCAACAGTTACAATTTATTTCACAGACGATTAATGTTCCACTGACTGCTCATTATGATTACTTATTTCATCAGAAACTCACTTTAAAGGCAAGTTTTTTTTTTATAAATTACTGTAAAATAATATTGCCCGTGAACTAAGCTGTCTGTCAAGTGATTGTCTATGAAGTGTGTAGCATTGGCTAATAAGAAATCAATTCCATCCAGTTAAGTCTATCGATCTTCCAGTTACAGTAATTACCACTGGAATGTTCCAGTGTCCAAGATTGCTTTGAGTGTTACATTTAATTAGCGTATCTGACCTTAGGTTATCCAGTTTATCTGGATATCCGTATGATTATACAGATATCCGAAGGGTTATCCGGTTATCCGTAGTATTTTATCCGGATATTCGCAGCTAAAAACCAACAGTTATCCGAATATAGCTTTTATAAAACGGGTACATCAAAACGGATATCCGGGTCCAAACTGTTACAGAGGGCGTTTTTTTTTCACGTGGTAGATCAAAGATTCACGTGTTATTTGGCCATGGGATTAGAGACTAATAGAGACAATTTGGGCAAGAAACAAAAGGTAATAGTTATTTTATTAGGTAAACTGATGATAAATAATCTAACAACCGTATTTAATATACAGTATGAAAAAAGGAAATGGCTATAGAAAGATATTGTCGTATTAGAATTTCCCAAAATGTGTGAACATAGAAAATTAAATTTCCAAAATTGTTCGTACAAAAATTTTTTATCTTAATATAGTCTAGCGGGATTTATTATGTTGCAGATCATCTCATCTCAATTAAGTCTTATTAATAGCTAAAGTAACTCGAGAAGGTTGTCAATATAAAAATTTAGAAACTACAGTATTTTCGGGGTTTTGCATCGTCAATCTATTTTATCTATAACTTTCTAAAGATACATACGTACCACCAATAAAATAGAATAGTGATATGAAGCAAAAACATGAGCTTGTGAAGATTAAAACATTGTGTCACGCCTAGTGATGTGCCGCAGTACTATGTACTGTACGGTACGTATAGAGATGGGACTTAAAAATTAAAAATTTAAATTTCATGCTCCGTGAATCATTGGGAAATTTTTTACTTCATAAATTGTTAATTCGACAATTTAAAAACACCTATTTTTCGACACCTATTTTTCCCCATCTCTAGGTACGTACTTCATGTTAAAACCTTTCCCGATCACTTTTGCCAGCCTATCAGATACTATACGTACGGTATGTACTGTACGCTAAAATTTTCAGGTATCATATAAATGGCGCATTGTTAGTCACGCCAAGATTATTAATTTTAAAATTCTTTAGTGTTGGTTAACTGGCATTATATATAATTAAAAATTGTTTTTTACATTTTTATTGTCTTCTAGATTACGCTTATTTTTTTTTTTAATTCGTACAGTAGAATTTTTTTAAATAAGATTCTTCAATTTCTTGTCACAGAATGAACTGCAAAAACCAGCCAATTACAGTGAAAGCAATAATATTGAAATATACCAATCATGCAATGTAACATTATCCTACCCTTTATCTGGGGGCGTATTGGTTTGTACTTCACTAATTTGTTCTCACGAAAGTTAAATTAAAATTAATAATTTAATATATCTTTCTAATTATATTATCTTTCAACCTATCACTTAGCAGTTTCAATATCGATATTTTAAAGGGCTTTTATTAAAAAACCATTTTTGGATCTATGCACAAAACCACGTGACTTAGGGGATGATGCCAATATTTAGCGTTTTATATATTATAGACTATCATAATCACCTTTTTAAACAAGATCGCTTTTATCATCTCAACTTAGATCTCTTTTATCATCTCAATCTAGATGCAAATGACCCTTCAATGGCTTGCATAGCATTATGCATAGTCTTGTAAAATTGATTTCCAATTAAAGCTTTGACTTTACGTCCTCTTAAATTTATACATTATATTCGAGTCTATGCTATTACTTAATTTGATTTTACTGTGGTCTAAAATGTGATACATTGAATTAGCAGGTTACTAAAAATAAATCATTTAATTCATATGTTTTGATAAGCTATTAAAATTTTATCACTAAGAAATATCTTCTTAAAAAACTTTAAATCATTATCTTGCAGTCGTCTTTTAGTGAAATAAAGCTTCATACTATCCTTTAAAGAAATATCCTTCAAACTAAATGTTTTATCTGGATATCAGTATCATAAGGGGACTTGGGGAATTATGTCAAGGTATCATGAGTGATTATTAATTCGGCCATTCATCAAACTTCAGATTATGTACTACTGTACTAATTCCAAAACCTTTTGCATTGTTAGAAATTGTAACCAAGTATGAGCAAGAACAAAACCAAGACGCAAGCTATAACATCAATAAAAATATAAGACTTGTAGAATTGTGCCAAGGTATCATTATTATTAATTCAAACATTTATCAAATTTCAATTTGATTCAGTTATGTACTGTACCAATCCCAAACTTTTTTCATTGTTAGAAATTGTAGAATTGTGTCAAAGTATCATGATTGATTAATAATTCGAATATTCATCAAATTTCAATTTAATTCGGATTATTTTGACATTATTAGAAATTGTGATAAAATATGAACAAAATCAAGAAACAAATTATGATATCAATAAAACATTGTTCACATATTAGATTCTAATGACGGGTGCCCAAAGAAAGCCTCCCAAGCATATTTTATGATATTGATGTTCCATTCACTTTATCATGTGACGCATCAGGTTCTACACCGACCTTACAACCGGCATTTGCTGCTAATTAGCTAAATGGTTCTCCCGCCACTTCTACCGATACAGCATTATCAGCATTATTTGATAGTTTTATTAATTCAAACAATTTGGTATTTGAAGAAAGCCAATTTACGCCAATCATGCGTGGGCAAAAAACGAATTCTTTACCATTACGTTTTATAGAAGTAATTGATCCTACTAATAAAATTGTTCATAAAAAGTCTGAAACAAAGATCAAGAAGCCTCCAAAGCCCCCAATGCCTTCATTCTTTTCAGGAAAGAAAAACTATCAGAAATTAAGGGGATAATTCCTAACATCACCCTAAGTGATGCTTCCAAAATAACCAGCTTAATGTGGCGTAACGAACCGTTAGAAGAGCGCTTAAATTTTTCTAAAAAACTACAAGAAATTAAGGAGATAATTCCTAACATCACCCTAAGCGATGCTTACAAAATAATCAGCTTAATGTTGCATAACGAACCATTAGAAGAGCGCTTAAAATTTGAAAAAAAAGCTAAAGAGGCTAAAAATAAACATATAATGAAATATCAAGAATATTATAACCAACAAAAACCTAAAGGGAAGTAGTGAAGAAATAGAAATAAGTAGGTATCATTTTAAAGTTTATCATAAACTGGATGTAAAAATTTCAATAACTATCATAAAAAAAGAATACATCTAATATGTACAACAAATTTTAAATTAATCAGTATTCATATAATTTTTTTTTATTTTATTAGGATGGATGTTTCTAGACTTAAATCCGACAGTAAATAATATTCAGTCCAGGTTGTCGGTGTCCTGGCTTTAAAAGTTGAGAGTGATTTATTATCTGTTGAAATAATACTTGCACTAGGAATGAGAGATTACAAAAAAGGGATATTTAAAAATAAAAACTTTACTGTATAGGAAGAATTGGGATTAGGAATGTAACATTAGTATTTATTTAAAATTAAATATATATATATTTTTGCTACAATAATTTAGAAAATAAATTCAAATTTTTGGTTTGTTTAATGAACAATTGTAAAAAAATTTTTTTTTGTAAATTAAAAATTCACGGAAAGACGATCCCAAATAGTATCCGAACTAAAAAAAAAATAAATTTTAAATTTTTAAATTATTTTTGTTTCTTAAGAACAAGACCATATGAAAATTTATATTTCTACAAGCTCTAATTAAATTTTAATTCATGATAAAGTTAATTTTTGTGTAATTCTATGAAAAATTCAAATGTGCCAATATATTTTATTTATTAAAAACCTCATTAAAATACAATATACCGTATACTGTATAACGTCCACCTGCATGATATTTTGAGTATATGCGCGTTATTTAGAGTACGCATGTTGGCATTCTTTTGAGACAAAATTTCTCAAACCTATTTGTTATATCACCCTAACTTTAAAAATTCTGAATTAAATTAGATTCTGGATTCTGAACCTATTGTTTGGTACTATTGCAATTAGAGATGGACTTAAAAATTCAAATGTAATACCCCAGGAATTATTGAAAAGAAATTTTTTTCTTCGTAACTTATTAATGCGACAATTTAGAATCACCTATTTTTCATATTGTTAGTCTCATCTCTAGTTGCAATTCAATTGGATTTCGTGACTGTTATAATTATAGCGCTTTGCAAAAAGATGTGACCCCATGATTTTTGTGATTATGAACGAGGAAAATTTTTGAGATTTCTTAATTTATATTTTTGATTAGTCATATTTATATTGTAATATTCTTAAAATATACAGAATCTCCGATTTTCACACGATGTGATCTGCAGAGGTCACAAATTTGCAAAATTCTGGACCCATTATCACTCCACAATCGATTGTAATTGCGGCAAAGATATGAAACCGAATTGTGTTTATTTGTATCCGGCTTGAGTTCTTTTTTTAATTTTTTTTTTAAGGGAGGTTTTTTAGTGCATCCTTGCTATATCTCAAAATTTTATTAGAGTAACCCTGACCCTATTGTGTAATTAACAAAAAATGTTCCTCTTGCAATTTTATCTAACCCTAACCCTAACACTAATTTTTTATTATATAGATTCAAATTCAAATTTTGCTATAAAATGCACTATAGTATAGGGTGCATTTTTTTAACTAAGTGTTCAATTTATATTAACTATTTGTTTACAGAATCACATCATTAGAGTCAGAATACTGTTAACTATAACATGATTACGTTACAGTGTTAAGAATTGTTGAAGAAATACATAAGAAATAATGTCCAGAATTCTGCGGTGCATAATTCTGCTCGCTCTAAAAATATTTTTTTTTGTATTGTATTTGGTTTTAAAAAATGCTCAGTTACATTTATCTTATGGAGACAATACAAAAAGATATTTTTAGAGCGAGCAGAATTATGCACCGCAGAATTCTGGACACTCTAATAAGAATTCGAAAAATTTGAGGATCAAAGTAAATTAGAAAGATTAATTATTTTACTTATTTCTTAAACTGTTTTCCAGGAAAATTTGCCTGGAATTTTTAAATTATTTGATAAATTCTAATATATCACCTTTTTTTAAAAAAAAATCGCCAACTGTTTTTCAGCCTGGAAATTTTATTATCAAATGATTGGTTAGGTTCATCTGGTCTTGAAAAATCATACATTAGGGGGCTTTTACTTATTACTATTGCTTGCATATACCAATTTTTTTGATCCTTTAAAATATTTTTTTACAATTGGTTTGATTCACTTTTAAGTTTGTACGTACGTCATTTTTGCAGCTTTTAATAAATGTATTTAATTTTATAAATTGAAAATTATTATTGCTCAGATATTGTTCTTTTGGATCGAAATTTATTCGTTATTAAAGAATTTCTTTTTTTTTTAATAATAAGTAAATATGTTTAAATGATGATACGTATTCATGATCTAGTAATCATCTATATATATATGTAGAAAGTTGAAATTGTAAAAATAATAAAAATGTCTACTCAGGTACAATCTCTACTTCACCATCTGAGACCGTTCACATCTTTTGGAGGCAGCTGTAATTATCTGAAAAATTAAAAATGAATAGTGGAATAAGGCAACATCCATAATTTACGTTAAACCAATACTGTATTGTATAGAAATAAAAACCTTGAGTAGAGGTCCAATCCAGATAAATCCATCATCCATTTATCCATATCTGAATTTATCCGGATATCCATTTACTATTGATATCCAGATATCAATAGTAAAACGGATATCTGAATAAATTCAGATCTGGATATCCAATAGATAAATGGATAAACGGATAATGGATAGGAACTCTAACCTTGAGAATAATACCATATGGTATTATTTTTGTATTATCTTTTAACAATACTGGTTTAACGTAAATTATGGATGTCGCCTAAATGAAATTTAGGTCCAAAATCATCTAGCCTAATAATATTAGTAATTAGGGAACATCCATAATTTACGTTAAACCAGTACAGTATTGTATAAAAATAGAGTCTTTAAAGATAATTTCATAAGTATTATTTTTGTATTATCTTTAAGATTCCTATAACAATGCCGGTTTAATGTAAATTATGGATGTCCCCTTAAAATTTTAAAGAACTTTTTGTTCAATTTGCAAATATTGCGGATGTTCATATTCACATTGGTTTATATTTAAATACAATACTAACACTAGATCTTGTTAACGAATACATTAAATTTCATTAACATTATTTGTTTAAAACTCAAATAAAAAATAATACAATTACATGTGGCACATTTTAAAGCGAAGTTTATTGAGTTAAAGTTAAAAAATTGATTTAATATTTGAACCTAATCGTAACATAAATACAATTATGGTTGGTTTTAACAATTGTAAACATGAAAAAAAACCTTAAACTTCAATTCACAAGTTTATAATAGTAAATTATAACATAAAGAATGTCTAGATACATCAACATAATTTTTTATTTTATTTTATTTATTTATTTTTGTATTCTTGAAAATTGGCTCTCTATTATAGTTATGCAATATAAAACCTAATTCGAGAAGATTCCTTGATGAAAACAATAATTTCTATAATTGTAGAATCAAAGGTAAATTCGCAGTTATATCAATCCATATCAAAATTGAAATATCATGTTATAATATAAAAGCCACAGAATGAATAAAAAATTCGATTATTTGGATACGACAAAAATAATATTTTTTTCTTTTAGTAGCAGTAAAAAATCAAATATCTTAAAAAATTGTTAGATAGTATATTGGAAACTACATGAATAAATGATGTTTTAATTTTTAAATTTTTAATGTTGAAACTAATATTTTCTAGAATGACTAGCTCATATAAAAACAATTCAACTCAGAATATAGATCGAGATCTTAACCGTGTAACAGTGGCTTGTAAAAAGTGCAGAAAGGACATATAAGGTGCTCTGGTAAAGCTCCTTGCACTAATTGCGAATGCACTTTCGGACTGAAAAAAAAAGTGCGGGCTCAAAAAAAAAACGTCAAAGTTTCCAACAATTAGAAACTCATATAGATTCTTTGAAGTATCTTATTTTCCTATTTCAAAAAAAATAATATCGATATTACCATTCTATTTACATGAATTGATAATAACATAGGCATTAAAATATCAATTTATAAGTGGAAAACGAAGTGCTTGATTCTTTTGCTGTCCAATGCCAGATATCTATAATGAAAATTTGAATAGGTTCAATCTTTTGATCATATGATCTTAGGGACCTGCGGGTCCTTAAAATCTCCATTGACATTGCTCTACTGAGAATAATTTCTGAATGGAGCCAATGGAAGCCAATCAACTCTATCCATTTAAACTAGCCCTCTAACTCCAATTTAAGTAAATTTCAAAAAATCATTATGTTCGTTTTGATTTTCATAAATCTGACCAATAGAAAAATTTATAATTTATTGACCAATATGGTAAATTAAGTTGTTTTGATTTTCATTATCTGACCAATAGAAAAATTTAAATTTATTTAACCAATATGGTAATTTTACATTGTATAATTTATTTGGAATAAGGATTGACATTTTAAAAATTTAATACCTCATACATATCTCGATGGCTATTTATTGATTCAATAGTCGTATATATCACAAAGTTTTTCTGCTCAAAATTTTCTGGGGTTACATTAACTTGCCAAATTTGATTGGCTAATATATGTTAATCTATAAGTTAATTTTATTATAAATTTTTATATCTAATCTTTAAAAATTTATATCTCACTGAGTTTTTAACCAATTTTAATGATTTTACTATCATTAGAATTAGAAAAATCTACTCTACAGACTTTTTTTATGAATTAAAATTAGTTACTTAAAATAATTTTTTATACTATAAGTTTATATATAAATTTTAAAATAGTACCCTCTACTCTTAAATTACTAAAATTATATTCTGAATTATTTTTTTAAAGTAAATATTGGATTAAATTTTCGTTCAAAATTTATCGCCTATAAAAAAGCTGTGGTCAAATTTTTTTTGAATATTTTTAACAACCAGCTATTATTTTAATATAATTCAGAAAAAAATAAATTCATCAAATCCAGATATCTGTTTTTCGAGAAATATTCATTAAATATTAAATAAAACTTGAAACATTTCTAAGTTTTTTTTTAAAAAAACCTTTAAATGAAGATTTCTCAACAGCCAATATCAGAATTTGATGTAATTTTTATTTCTATGAACCCACAGAATTAAATAAAAAATTCATAAAATTCGGATAGCTGGTTGTCTAGAAATCTTTATTTAAATTTCAAAGAATGCCACGTGGCACAGAGGGGCTGGGGAACACCACAGATGACGTACGCAGCAACAAAGTGTGCTAACTCGCAGGATCTCTGCAGAATGATAACTCTGGCCTTAATTATGTGACAGATCCTAAGGTGTCTAAGGACCTTCAGGATAGCGGAGAGAGGTAAAAAAAAAAAAGTTCAAAGAATGCCGATTTTAGTTTTTTTAATATATTTTTTTAAAAAAAAAATTTTAGTAATGATTTCTTGATAACATTAAATGAAATTCAGTGAACTCTCTTTTGTTTTAGTTCTACAAAACTTTAGAATTAAAATAAAAAAATTTTGCTGATTTGATAAGCAAGTATTGAGAAATATTCGCTAGATATTTAAAAAAAGGCTTCGCTAAGAATATCCCATGATCATTGATCATCGGGGAATTTCGTAAGATGCCATCTGTTATCGTTGTAGATCTTCACTTACAAAATAAGCATCATGTCCAATTTAAATCTACAAACTATACCTACAGAATCTCTTAATCTTGCTCTCATTCTACACAGTAAAATTGAATTGAAAACGTGGACTGGAGATGTAAAAGCCGAAATTAAAAGTTTTTATGGCGCAATTGAACATGCTTTACAAAAACTAGAACATTTAAAGGAAACGCCTGAAGATGTGGTAAATATTATTTTTAATTAGATTATACTATTATAGTATGATGGAGTTTACATTATTTATGTTGCAAACACAGCTAAGTAAGAATTCAATTATGAATTGTTGCAACGAGCACGACTCAGTAGAGATGTTTTTAAACTTGTTTAAAATATTATTGAAGTAAGGTCGACCTTGTTCTATTAATCATCCTTGGAATTCTGTATTGGGGTTGGCCTTGTTATCTAATAAGTTAAAAGGCATGCCGATATTTCTGACTTAGCTTTATAAATTTATCTAGCATTTTAATTTATAATTTAGGTAAAAGCTGCTGTATTAGCAATAAGTTCCTTACATAAAAATAATAAACTTGCTATTTCTTCTCCTTCATATAAAAAAGAGGACAATCAAAATGATATTTGTATGCATATCTCAAATTTAAAGAGTATATTGGAAAGTACTATCAGCTATTATAATTTAAAGATAAGACTGACAATAAGGTCATTTTTGAAGAATAATATGATTTTAATTTTTTAAGTTCCATCACTAGATGTGATTAACTTTGGTTTGAATAAACTAATAATTTGTATTTTATAACTCTAAAAATGATTATGTTTTCTTTACCGATTTTCGCGTAATAACGTATAACTAACGCTCACCTGCGCGTTATTTCGAGTAAGCCATGAGCGTTATTTTGATACAAAAAAAAAATACATCAGAACTAAATTTTGTACTAAGTGAACCTTTTTTCGAGCTTAACAAAGGTTGTTCTTTAGAACAACTTTTGTTAAGCTCGAAGGAAGGTTCACTTAGTACAAAATCTAGTTCCGATGTATTTTTTTTTAAAATCTTACTATAAATAAAAATCCCTTATTATGGAAAGTGCGCAATTTTGGGACGCACATGTGCATTATTTTGAAACTATATAAATAATATAACTTACAAAATTAAACCAAATCATATTATAAGAATTTATATAAAAATTTCACGCAAATTATTTATTATTACTTAAAGATATTGAAGATTTTGAAGCAAAAGAATTAATCTTATATTACAGGAGAGAATTACAATTCGAATTAGAACAATGCTCAAGGAATATTATAAGATTCATAGGAATCTTTATCAAAATTATATTCATTAGTACTTGACAAGCCTACTGAATAATTGATTGTAGGGGGCAATTTTTCTAGCTCAATTAATTGATTGGTGGAGCAGTCACAATTAGTCAATTAATTGCAATTTTTACGTAATTAGATTAATGTCATATATTCACCACTATGATATGATTTTTGATTTTCGTTATTTAAAAGATCAGGTTACACCAGTGAAAGAAAATTGAATTTAATTGCAATTATTTCGTCATTAATTGGGTTTCAATTAATTTTATAATAATTTTAATTGATTTTAATTGTATGACGTATAGCAAAAATTAATTTTAATTGATTTTTGGCAGGCCTGGTACTTGAGGATATCAGGACAAATAAATTATATTTCAATTGTCAGAAGCAATCAAATTCTAATTAGCTTTTTCAATTATTATACATATTAAAAAAAAGAAGACAATTAATATGATATTGAAAAAGCCAAAAAAAATTTGGAAAGATTACATCACTCCATCCCTATATAGGGCACTATATAAACATTATATCGGGTATTCTACCCTATGGATATAGTAAATTTCTTATAAGAATAGAGCCTATAGTTGTTAGACGAAACCATGTGATGCTAAATGTCACATATCAATATTTAATAAAAACTAGATTAAATTTTTA